CAATTTGTGTTTCCAACTTCTTGATTGATGCTTGCTGATTCTGAAAATTAGTGTCAATCTGCTGAAACACCTTGTCAGTCTTCTGCATATACTGGTTGAACATCTCCCCCAAACTTGGTTTTTTCTCTTGTTGGGCATTATTTGAACTGTTCCCTTGTTGATTATCTGACCATCTGAAATTTGGGTGCTGTCTCCATCCTGGGTTGTATGTTTGAGCAAATGGATTAAAATTTTGAGACCCATTCTGAATGAAATTGACCTGCTCGTCGGGATAGCCTATAGATGTGCAGTTTTATGTCAGATGATTAGCCCCGCAGTTCTCGCATGATGGACCAGCTGTCACTGCATGTGCTCCTTTCGTTTGTGATTTCACCAATAACTCCACTTGTTTTGTCAATGCCACTATTTGGGCGTTGGTAGCTGCTGCGCTGTCTAACTCATACATTCCTCCTGTCTTTGGTGGCGCCACTCTTTCCGATGAGAACATGGAATGTGTAGTAGCAATCAACTCAAACAGTTCCATGGTTTGCTGCACAGATTTTCCTATAATTGATCCTCCAGCTGAGGCATCGACTTGAGATTTTGACAGTGACAGTGGTGTAAGTCCAGTGTAGAAGTACTGCACTTGATTACCTATAGTAATTCCATGGTTTGGGCATTTTCTCATCAACTCATTAAACCTATTCCATGCTTCGTGATAGCTTTCTCCCTCTTTCTGTTGAAAAGTTTGAATTTCTAATCTGATTTTAGCTACCCTCGCTGGTGGGAAAAATTTATTACAGAACTTCCTGATTAGTTCTTCCCATGTAGTAATGCTAGCGTGAGGCTCAGCATCTAACCACTCCAATGCAGCATCTCTCAATGTAAATGGGAATAGTCGTAGTTTAATAGCATCTTCATTGACTCCCGGAGCATGAAAGTTCTGACAGTTTCTGAGAAATCTAGAAATATGCGTATTTGGATTCTCTTGAGGTAGCCCGTAAAATTGCAAGGTGTTGCTCATCAAATTAATCCAATCTGGCCTGATCTGAAAGTTATTCACCCCAAAATCTGGATAAACGATACTGGAGCGCATGGGTGCTGCTATAGGTGTCAGGAACATTGATACTGGCAAATCCCCTTCATTTATTTCCCTTCGTTCATATTGTTGTTCTGGTGGTGCCACCACTCTTGCGGCCATTTGCCCAATCGGCTGAATAGGGATATGGATTTGTTGTTTGTCAGCCATTTGATGTTGCTGTTTTTGTTTGTGTTCCTTGCGTCTTCGTCTGAAGGTACGTTCTATCTCCGAATCAAATGGTTCAAGATCGTCGCCTTGGGCACGGAGCATACAACGAACACACTTTTCTGTAAATAAAATAAAATAAAAACTAATCAAATAATAGCCAAAATAAAAAAATAAATTAAGACTAAAAGAAATAGTCCCCGGCAACGGCGCCAAAAACTTGTTGTAAAATTTTGTTTCGCAAGTGTACGATCCGTAACAAGTAATAGTGGACCTAAGAGTCCGATTATCGATCCCACGAGGACTATTTTGTAGCACTTAATTTAATCTTTCTTTAACTACTATTTGACGAATGTAAATCAAAAATAATGATTAAATGTGATTTTTATTCTAAAGACTTAAAAATGTGATTGAATTCAATGAAAAGTGATTGAGAATTCAAACAATAAATGGACGTTAGGGCGGAACAATTTCACCTATTGGTCACCTTTACTTCATAAATCAAGATTCATAAAACCTAAGGTAGTGTTCGGTCGAATTCTTCTATTGTATTCAACTTACCCCTCTCGAGTTCTCATTGAGCCTACTTAATTAGTTTAATTCCATATCTCTATGCAAATTAAATTTAATTAAACGAAACATTGGTTCTAAGAATTCACACACGACCGCAGCAATCAATATAGGTATCTCTACACATTATATCAATTTGTCGGATTTTAACATGTGGTCTAAACAAATAATCCACATCTCTACGCAATCATTGTTCACAAATCATCTAATTAGTGATCAAATAATTAAATGTATTAAGAACAATATTAAAATCAACACATGAAATAAAAAAGTACTAGAAACTCAATTGCATGAAATAAAGGGTTCCAAAAGATTACATTGTTCGCCCTAACATGAAATTTAACTACTCATAATAATGGAAGAAAAATAGGAGATTGTCTTTGAATACATCACCGAGTTTGAAATAAAGGTGTAGAAGAAAAAGTGGAATTCTTGCACCAAGATCTTCTTCCTCTTCCAAAGAGTGCTTCCAATCTTCAATTCTTGGTGTTAATCTTCTTAAATTTCTCCTTTGAATCTCCCTTCTTGTTGTTTTTCTCTCCAATATGTCAAGAACCCTTCAAAAGTATGAGGAGGATGTATTTATAGGTGCCTCCACGTTTTTATGTTGAAGTAGGGTTTCTATGGCTTTAAAAACGGCCCAAAAAAACGCGCCCTAAATCGCCAATCGCAGCGCCTAGGCGCTGGCTATAGCGCCTGGGCGCTGTGTCTTCAGCGCCTAGGCGCTGGTGGTAGCGCCTGGGCGCTATGGTTGTAGCTCCTAGGCGCTGCCTTTCGGGTCCAATTTTCATCTTTTCTTCGTTTCGTAGCGCCTAGGCGCTATAAGTGTGGGGCCTAAGCGCCATCTTTCTGCCCCAATTCCATGTTTTTGGCCTCTTCATCCACTTTACTACTTCTTTTCTCATTGCTTCTCCTTATCTTCAAAACAACACTAACAAACACATCAAAAACGTTCTACACTCATAAAATCTAATATTTAATCAAGCTAAAATTGTGCGAAAACCATGAGTGAAACAAACTCATCACTTATAGAAGTTGAAATTTTATGTACTTTCATAGACATAGTATTTGGCGAGCAACAAATGACTTTCATGAAGCATAAAATTGACATTATTTATGTTCAAAAAAATCAAATCAAAGGGTTAATTTGTATACTTGATCAGCAAGGCTAATCAATGAGTTTTTATAAAACAGAATTTGTCACTATTCCAGTGGAAATTTAACAAATGCAGTGTCATGATCAAAGAAGGCAACATATAATTTGATGAAAAAGCTGAGTGTGTTTAAAACCATCTAATGATAAAATATCATGTAACATTATGTCAAGAATTATAACATTGTAACATGATTCTTTATAAAAACAGAGCTCGGTACTTCACTAGATAGGTTTAGGTCTCACAACAGAAAAAGTCAAAGGTTTGAAAGCCTAAGGGTCCATTTGATTACAAAAATGTAATTGAATTGCCTAGAAAACGAATTTCAGGGAATTGAATTGCCTAAAAATTATTTTCCTTTTAATTGTAAATTATTATGTTTGATTGGTATAATTTTTCATTTGAAAAATGTTGAAATGAAAGTGTTTTTTGGTGTTAATTTGACTTTGTTTTACATGAAAATTGTCAATTAAAATGATAGAATTTACTGGTATTGGGATGAAATTCGTTTCCATTGCCAAAAAATATATATATATAATGATAGAATTTACTGGTATTGGGCTAAAATTCGTTTCCATTGCCAAAACAAAAAAAAAAAATCTATCTTTTGGTATTCGTTTGACTTTATTTTACATGAAAATTGTCAGTTAAAGAGAAATTTTTTTCACAATAATTCTTAAAATTTGTTTTCATTACCATAAAAAAATAAAAACTACAGTCATCGGGAATTCCAATTCTCATCATTTTGGCGAGAATTCCAATTCCTTGAATTGGTGGAATTTGGCTTGTGTGGCATTCAAGTTCGAAATTCAATTCTAGGATAAAAAATAAAAAATAAATAAAAAAAAATTATCAAACAAGGTTAAATTGAAAGGTGGAATTCTATGGAAAATGCCCAGCTCTAATCAAACACAGCCTAAATAGAACTTTTTGATTAGCACTTAAATGTTCAATTGTTTCAAAACCGTCAGAAAAACTGAGCTTTTTTCCATTATTATCACTTCATAAAACTAAATAATGTATTTTGAGTTCGTGACCCAAACTTTACACTATCATTCTCTTTAGCACCTGAACTTTGAATCGTTTCAAGATAGTCAAAAAACTTTAAGGGCCTATTTGGTTTATGTTTCGGTTTTCAATTTTGAATTTCGAGTTCATTTTCTATTTTTTGTTTTAAAATTTCAAAAAACGTGTTTTGATTGTCATTTTGAAAGATTATTTCTCAAAATTAAAAATAAAAAACATGTTTGGTCTGAAATTTTGAAGAATTATTTAATGAAATTTTATTTCATTAAATTTGATTATCTTGTAACTATAAAATAATTTTATGTTAATATATTGTCAGATATTATAAACATTTAAAGTCGATGAATCGTATAATATTTTTTCTCGCTAAAAAATTATAGAAAACAATAAATCAATTTTAAAATATAAGAAATAAAAATAAAAAATTAATGGTGTGGACTTAAAATATTTTTGTCTATGTTCATTTATATTTTTTAAAATTTGTATATAAATAATCATTCGTTAGAACTATTTTTATTATTTTTTCTAAATTTTTTTTTCAGAAATTTCATTTTAGTTTTTGGAATTTTATATTTTATTTTGAATTTTATAATTTTATTTGTTAAAATTTTATTTAAATAAAAATTTAATTTAAATGCTTGTTCTCCCATATTTTAAGTGTTTTCAGAATTTTCGCTAAAAATATTCAAAATGTTAAAAATGTTTTTTGAGTTTCACGTTATAAATTTATCCTTGTTTTCGAAAAAATACTTTTAAGTGAAAATAGTTTGAAAATAGCAAACCAAACTCTCCATAAACTTTTTTCTGTTCATTCCTATTTTCACTTCATAAAACTAAATAATGTATTTTGAGTTCGTGGTACTTAACTTTGCTCTTTAACGAAGGTACCATTATCATTAAAGCTGAGTGTTGCAATATTTTAAGTGTTTTTAGAATTTTCACTAAAAATATTCAAACGGTTAAAAATATGTTTTGAGTTTTATGCTAAAAATTTATTCTTTTTTTTTTTTTTTTGCAATTTATTTTTAATTGAAAATAGCAAACCAAACACCATAAACTTTTTTCATTCATTCCTATTTTCACTTCATAAAACTAAATAATGTATTTTGAGTTCGTGGCACTTAACTTTGCTCTTTAACGAAGATACCATTCCCATTCAAGCTCGAGTTATCTTGGAAAAATGACAAAACGTGCTCTCAATTAAATCACAAATTTACATACACACACACACATATATATATGGACTATACATCAATATTGTTTACTGCGTTGACCGGTTTCACTATTTATGTGTCAACGAGTCAAGGTAATCAAGGAGGATTATAGCCTTTGTTTGGCCCCTCATTATTTGGATTTATAATGGTAAGAATGATATGTTTTTGAAAAATTGATGGTTGTAAAAGAATAAAAAAATTTCGATTTATGTGTAATATTATTTTATTGAAAATTTTGTAATTGTAAATAAGAGATAGATTTTTTTTAATTAAATTAAAGAGTTTTAATGGAAGCCAAACAGAGGCATAATAGACCCACATCGTAAAACGTTGTTCATTTTATAATATCAATCAAAATACACCTTCCATTTATACATGTGTCCAACATAAACAAATGTGAATTAGTTCAATATGAACAACAATTATTAGTTCGTTTAGTGGCCGATACTTCGTCAACGTAAATTATCTCTTTTTTTCCTTGAAGTGTTGGATTAGTTGCTTCATTTGTCTTATTTTGAAGACTTTTTTGACTGGCAATTTCAAATATTCCACCAACCATTTGAAGAAATGCCTCTTCCACATTCACATTTTCTCTAGCAGATGTTTCCATAAAGAAAAGATTTTCCTCCTGAGCCAAGCTCTGTCCCTCTTCTACATTAACTTCTCTAGAGTGACTCAAATCAGATTTGTTGCCCAAAAGAACAATAACCATGTCGGGGCTAGCAAATTCACGTAGCTCGTGCAACCATTTCTTCAAATTCTCGAACGTTGCCCTCCTAGTTGTGTCGTAGACTAGTAAGGCGCCTAGAGCTCCACGGTAATATGAACTTGTAATGGCTTTAAATCTGCACAAGATATCGCTTTTCACATTAGGACTGTTGTATTATTCCCACTTTTGCACCTACCATATGGTCGAGCTTGAATACCTAAACTTGGCCACATGGACCACTCATAACCCCTTTTTCTACATAGAAATTAAAAGACATGGTTTTGTTACCATAAACCATTGAATGGATCATGAAGTTGTCTTGAAAACTTCCTTTGCAAATGAATTCATCATGACTGTAAAAAATCTTCACTAATTTTCAATAAATCTTAGTTTTATGTTCGTATGATCAAAGTTCTGCAGACACTTTCACTATATATAGGAATTAGTCGAACAGGATTGATCCCGAATTTATTGAGAATTAGACTTTGGTTATTGTTACTCAGACGTGATGAAAAAAATATGTGAAGTGATGAAGAAAGAGGAAGATATAACCTTTCTTGGCCAGCAGTATCCCAAATCTGAGCCTTGATGAGCTTATCTCCCATTTGAATATTCCGATAAGCGAATTCGACTCCAATGGTTGGCTTGGAGTCTAAGTGAAATTCATTTCTAGCAAATCTTGAAAGAAGATTGGACTTCCCAACCGCTGAATCCCCGATAAGAACAGCCTTGAACAGGTAATCACACTCTTCTTGAAATGAATTTGCCATATGCACAAGTTGAATAGTTTACAGAAGTTGAATTTGAAAGATATAAGGAACAATACGAGTACCATCGGCATGCTTTCATGTAATAATTAGCTATATAAATTATAAAGCAGTTTCATGAGAACTCCTTCTGAATTGGATATCAAAGTTAATTGAGTCCATGTGATGAGATTGATAAAGACATGGTGTTTCCTAATTAGATAAAGGGGAAATTTGCACAATTGGTCTTCAAACTAATACTCTAGTAGCTTTGGTCCCCAACCTTAGAAATATAGCAATTTTGTCATCAATGTGTAACAATCCGTCTCCATTAGAGAACATGTCCAAATCCATGTGAATCATCATGTGGGTCTCATATGTCTAATTTTTTAAAGATAGTTTTCCCTGACTTGCGAATGAAGCAAATCAAGTTTTATGGGTGTCTAACGACAATTCGAAGGCACGTGGATGGGGCTTGAAAATGAAAAGTTTGAATCCAATACTTGTAGAGAAATATTGTGAATCCAAAATCATTTACGTCATGTTGTAGTAATGACAAAATATAACAATTTGATTTTCATTATGCCAAGGGATTAGCAAAATGAAAATAAATGGTTATATTCATTTTTGACGGTTTTCGTATTGGAGTCTGATAGTCAATTATCGTTGAAAGGTTGAGAACCAATTTGTTAATTTTTAAAGATTGAACAAAACTTGCTTTCTAAACAATAGATTGAGTACCAAGGGTGCAATTTTCTAGTAAACAAATATGGAAAGCCCACTTGAGTTCTGGATGACCCCATTTTGTTAATTAGATTGAGCATATCACAATTTTCCTAAAAACCCAATCAAATTCGTCCAAATGTCAACCTACCATTTGTTTATGTATCGATGGTCAATGAGGACCATCAGAAATTGGAAATCCTTAACTGTATGGTGACCCAACAGCAAGCTTATCAAAGGCTAATGTCATGTCAATTGTTAGTAATTATAGTTAGCTAACAATAAAGTAATAAATGGATAATCGAGCCCCCCAACGCACATCCGAGTTGGTGGAACAATCACTATGGTGGGCTTGCAACCTCAGCGTGGAGAGTTCGATTCCTGATCAACGTAGTGAGGAGGATTCTCTTGGGGTCAGGAGTATAAATCAAGTGGGAACTTGGGAGTCAACAAGGGCATAACCTGCGATTTACCTCCTCGAGTCACTGAGGGGCCGGTGACTAGAAGTCCAGGATTTAGTTTGACGAAACTGGGTATTCAAAAAAAATAAATGGATAATCGTCCCTTTTGGAAAGTTAGAATCAAAATAGGAAAACACATTAGGTAGTTCGATGGGCCTATGCCACCAAGTCCCACGTGTTTGGTAATGAAGTTCAAAATATTTCTTTGAAATCAATTCTCTCTCCTTAGAACCAAATCTCATAATAATCAAGCGGAATGAACGTCAATTCAGTTGGAAAAATATGAACTTGTTAAGAATTCGATTCGATTACATATAAAGCATTATATCAATGAAATCCATATCAGAGTAACAAATTTGGTTGATTCATTTAGACGAATGTTTGAGATCGGCTTACTCGACTCCTTTTCTAAAAATAAGTTTTTTTTTCCCCTCTATTTGTTTATGCTTTTCAAAAACTGGTACAAAGTCCAATTCGATCATCTATCCTTTAACCTTACCTTCAACCGATCAATGCTGGGTTGATTTAAAAAAAAAAAAAAAAAAAAAAAAAAATTGCTGAAAACTTGAGTCATTTCATTACCTTACAAAACACATGATGATAGGGATGACAATCGGGCGGGTATGAGTCGGGGCACCTTTGCCCACCCTGCCCCACTAGATAGTTTCCTGCCCCATACCCATTTAAGTCGGGGACGGGTTGGGAGTGGGGCGGGAGCGAAGTGGGGTCTCTACCCATTTACTGACCCATTTTAATTCAATTTTTAATATATTCTAAATTTAGTGCCCTTTGTAATAATATAATATTTTGACAAATATTACGTCAATTCTCCTTACTCTGCTCAAAAACTTTGAGAACTTGAAGTTTAACATAATCCTTGTTACACAACAACAGAGGAAGAGTTGTAGTAAAATTGAAGGAATTCATTAAGCAATATTTTGAACTGTTCAACGTCAAATATCTTCTCAATCTTGAAATGAAAATCAAATCACCAATGCCAAAATAATTGTCTTTTACCATAACTTAAATCCACAAACAATACATTCACTCAACTAAAAATATGTCCAATATATTCTAATTGTGCAAATTATTGGATAAATTACGATGTAGCTTGTAGAGAAACATAGCATAATGCAACACTTCATGTTGTAGATCTTCAAGAGCTGGCATCTTCTTCTGAAATGTCTATATCTGACTCCTTAAAAATTGATGACTGAAGAAGTGTATTAGTTAGAAAAATGATATATCTAACTATTTATTACTCAAGTCCATCTAAAGGAAAATCAATTGACCTCCTCTTCAATATCCATGTCACTTAATTTTGTACAACACCCAAAATATGATGTAGGCGACAAATGTTCTATGAAAAAATAAAACTAGTTAGTAATAAAGAAATAACATAAATAACAATTATAAAAAAACATAGATAGTTATATTTATGGTACCATGAATGTCAGACCATAACCAATCTTGAGCACACATTAAAGGTTTCAAAGTCTTTGGATGAAGCATATTTCTGTGTGGACTAACAAATTTACCACTGGTACTGATTGTAGACTCTGACACCAAAGTAGATACTGGAATGGCTAAAATATCTCTTGAAACTTTTACCAAAAGAGGATATTTTATTGAATTTGTATTCCACCATCCCAATATATCAAAATCAATCAATCTAGGCAGTACAGACTCGTCTAAGAAAGTGTCAAGCTCTGATTTCATAGCATCAATACTAGTAGTATTAGAAACAAATAAATCAAATTGTGCCAACCGATCCTTTTTGCTCATATTAGTAATTATCTTAGTTCCATTTGAAGATTCGGTCATATTACCACTTGATCCATGTTTTATTTTGTACTCATTTAGAAGTTTTTGACAAAATCTTCTAACATTTTGAATCTCAAGATCCGAAAATTCATTTCCATAAATCATTGGAAAATAATATTCAACCAACTTTATTTTAAATCTTGGATCCAGCACATTAGCTACTGCCAAAATTCCACGAATCTCACTCCAATATTTTTCAAACTTTTCAATCATACTTGAAGCCATCATTCTGATTTCATCATAAGGAGATTTCATCCAATCATAAATTGAAAACTTTATCTCACAAATATTAGAAAAATAAAGATTGGATGTTGGGTACTTGGTCCCACAAATATTTCAGTCGCCTCAAAAAACACCTCCAACCTTTCACACATCTCTTTCGCCAAATTCCAATCTGCATCACTATATATTGTAAAGCACTGTGAAGCATTAAATAGGTAGAGTTCCACCTCGTTTTGCAATCTAGTGCTAACTTTTTGGAACAAGAAATTTTCAATTGACGTTCTGAAGTCTCAAATTTCTCTAATCTTTTTGTAGTTGTTGTCCAATATGCAACAATATCACGAATTTTCTCAACACTCGAGCTAATGATCTCTAAACCATCTTTAACCATCAAGTTCAATATGTGTGCACAACAACGCATATGAAAAAAATTCACCATTTAGCAGAAGTGAACTACCAGAAAGTTTATCTAAAAGAATATTGATCATGGCATCATTTGTAGTAAAATTATCGACAGTCAAAGTAGACAACTTACGATCAATATTCCAATCCAATAAGCAATCCATCAACGATATACTCAATGCCTCAGACGTGTGCAGACACGGCACATATATGAACCTGTATCCAATATATAAAAATAACATTGATACGACAAAAATTAATTTAAATATTATATAACAATAAGCTAAATTAATTTCATACAAGATAAGTACCTCATAATACGACTTTGAAGTCTCCAAGCATCATCTATAAAACATGCGGTGATGGCCATGAATCCTTTATTCTGATTGGAAGTCCACATGTCTGTAGTGACTGTAATTTTACTATTGTTCCTCTCCACTAAGCTCATCACTTTCAATTTATCATAATCATACATTTTCAAACTATCATTCTTTATAGTGTTACAAGAAACGTTCTTAAATAATGGTTGTAAAGTATTCGTGAATCTTCTAAATCCAATGTGCTCAACCATTGAAAGAGGATACTCATGCAGGATTATCATTTTTCCAAGTTCTTTCTGAGCATTATCTTGATCAAAAGAGTAAGTACCCAGTGAAACCCTTCCACATGCTTCCTTCAATGGATTCAATATTGCTTGCTTAATATTTTTTTGATTTCGACGAGGGTATCTTTTCATATGTTCGTGCAAATGTTTTGTCCCATTCTTACTTTTAGCCCCTAGTTTTCTTTCATAATAGTTACAAATTGCCTTGTCTCCCCCCCTTAATGACCTTTTTTTTGAAGTAGTTCCATACTACCAAAGTCAATTTTCTTTTCTTACCTTGTCTACTATCCTCTTCCTCATTACACAAGTCTATTGGATCTTGTTGTGTATTTATTTGATTAGGTAAGTCTTCATGGGATGGATTATCACTTGATCGTGCTGGAGTACTTTCAATGCTCGATATGGATGTATAATGCTGTAATCCAGACATTTGAAAATAGAAAGAGGGTATCTTTACAGCCTTAAATTTACATTCGAGGTCAGCAACAATATTGTTTCAGGCCTCAAGTAGAGGAACACTGTTTGGAAAACTGGCATCAAAGGTTCTCTTTCCTCAAATTATGTGTTTCTAGTTGAATATATATGGACTTGTTGAAGTTTTTGATAAAATTTACCCTTTCACGAACATTATTTCAATGGACAGTACCAAAGAATTGACTGGAACCTTTAGCCCTCAATCAAAACCTTATACACATGAGATGCCCGAGGAGACAACCTCGTCTGACATATTTGCTAGAGGATCATATTCAGCTAAAACACAGGTGAATTCAATCACTGTTCTCTTATTATCTTTAATTCTTCATAACAAATTGTCTTCGACCTTTCATATCAGAAACTTAAGTAATATGCAACTATTTACAGTCCGATAGTTACTTCCATGAAAGTTAATTTGTTAATATATAAGAGCTCAATCTCTGTGGATTCAATAATTG